TTCTGGGGGGGCGAGGTGTTCTGGGGGGGCGAGGTGTTCTGGGGGAGGGTGAGGTGTTCTGGGGGGGCGAGGTGTTCTGGGGGGGCGAGGTGTTCTGTGGGGGGGGCGAGGTGTTCTGTAGAGGAGGGGGGGCCAGGGTTTCTGTAGAGGAGGGGGCCCCAAAGCACATGCCGGTTCCTTCCCGGGCCCCCCACTGCCCTGCCCACGGAGGCTCCCTGCCGAGGCGCCACCATTCCTGTCCCTTCTCTCAGTGTGTCCTGCGTGGGGGCCCCCGGCCCCAGGGCGGAGACGGCCCCGCTGCCCTCGCACTGGGGCAGTGGGGTGTGGACGGTCCCTTGGCCCCAGCACCCCAGCCGGAAGCCGCAGCCCTGTGAAGAGCCTTTCCTTATCTGCTTTTCACTGCAGGGAGGGGGAGGGGCTGGCTCCAGCCCTGGACGGGGGGTCGGGGCGACGGTGCAGCCACTGGTTGGGGCCCAGGGAGGTGGTCGAGGGGAGAGGGCCGCTGTGGTCCCCCGTGCTGTGGCTGGAGCTGGCCATGGGGCAGCACGCCGTGGGGACCTGCGCCAAGTCTGTGGGGGCTTGTCTCTCAGGCAGGTAGGGCCCCCCCACAGGGGAGGCTCAGCCAGCAGGGGACTGTCCCCTGGGAAGGGGGCACCGAGTGACAGGACAGTGACGGGCAGCCTGACGGTGAAGACGAGGTCATGTTCTGAGCCTCGGAGTAGGTGCTGTACTTGTGTCCAAGGGAGAAACCGGGTCCGGGGGATGAAGACGTGTGTGTTGCACGGCTAGTGAGAGGGGCTGGGAGGTAGACCGAGGCAGCCTAGCTCCGGGACGGGACCGGAGTGCCACACGGACGCTGGACCAGCAGAACCCCAGGCTGTGGGGACCCCGGGTGGCCGGTGGGTTCTCGTCACTGTGACGGTCCTGAGGCGGACGCCGTCATCTGGGCACGTGTGCCCTGGACCCGCCGGTGCTCGGGCCTCCCCACTGCCGGGCTCGCACCCACCACCTTTAGCGAAACGTGAATTCCGAAACCGCGCGGTTTAAACGCTCAGTAACTTGAGGCTTCACTTCGCTTTGATTTAAGAAGACAGACCGTCTTCGTGGAAAAATATTTAAGCTTACCTCACACCCCCTGGTAACGTACAGTACTGTGTGGGGACCCCGACTGAGCTCTCCACAGACGCACCGCAATGGCTTTGGTGTTGCGTTCCTTCCAGCTGGGATGTCAGGTGCCCACGGGTGGAGGAGACTGTCTGCAGGTGAGGAGCCACGTGGCGCTCGGGAGGGGCTTTCCTGACCGTCCCCCCCGTCAGCCTCAACTCACCGTCATCTCCAGCAGTTACTCCGTCCTGCACACAGGAAGCTGAGGGGGGACATCGTGCAGACAAGAGCTCACTGAGGAGGAGCAAGATGGTGGCTGTGGTTGTGCCCGTGTGGTGGGCCCTCCACGTGGGGCCCACAGGAGCAGCTCGCCGACACTGTCCTTCCCCTTAGTGAAGGAGCAGCCCGTTCTGCCACAGGGAAGTCACTTTTGACTGCTTTCCTTTTCAGTAGAGAAACCAAATCTCGAACTGTTGTTACTAATATATTTCATGTGAACAGCTAGTCCACCCTCCCCCCGTGTTCATCCATCCATCCACCTACCTATCCACTCACCCACCCACATACCATCCACCCACCCACCCACCCACCCACCCATCCGTCCGTCTGTCCGTCCATCCGTCCATCCATCCACCTACCCACCCACCCATCCACCCGTCCATCCATCCATCCACCTACCTATCCACTCACCCACCCACATACCATCCACCCACCCACCCACCCACCCACCCATCCACCCATCCATCCACCCATCCACTCACCCACCCACCTGTTCGTCCATCCATCCATCCATCCGTCCGTCCATCCACCCATCCATCCACCCACCCACCTACTCACCCCCCCATCCATCTATCCGGATATTGGATCAGGTTTACCCTGTGAGAATGCGAATCACATGTTATTATGCAGTTTGTTTTTGTCTTGAAACGGGTGTGGAGAGAACCCACAAACCAGGCGGTGGGGGCAGGTGTCCGTGATTCCAGTGTAGGGTGTCGTCAGTGATCCTTTCCTTCCCTTCCTGGCCTCCGGGCCCAGCCTCTCCCCCACTGCCCATGCCGGTTTCCCTCTAAGTCCTTTCTCTGAGCTCCTGATTTTTGCCGTACACGGGAGGCTCGGCAGCCACTCATGCCCTGGGGCCGTGCGCCCAGAGGGTGACCTGGTGACCGGCAGGAGTGCGCGGTGGGTGCTGCCTTGTCCACTCCAGGCAGCACGTCTTGGAAGTATGTAGAACTCTCCTACCCCCCCCCCCCCCCCCCCCCCGCCTCTTTGCACGGCTCCTTTGTCAGACGTCTGCAGGCAGCCCCGCTTGGAGGGAGCCTTCCTTCTCCCGAAGCCACAGTCCTGGCCCTGGGGGGCCGCCTCTGCCTGCCACTCTCGTCCCTTAGGGCCACCCTGCCCCGTCATCTTGCCCTCTGCTGCTTCTCCCCTGGGTTACATTCGGCCCAGAAGGAGCCCAGGAACACGCTGGTGTGGAGACCGGAGTCACACGAGAGGGCCGAAGCCAGCCTCCACGCCCCCTCGCCGCCGGCTTCTCGT